TATCGACCAATAACTATCTCATCAATCCTGTATCGGATATTCACGAAAATAATCGTGAAAAGGATGCAAACCTGGATGGAGGAGAAAAAAATCCTGGGCGAGATGCAAAACGGATTCCGCACCGGCAGAAGAGGGGACGACAACATATTCATCCTGACCTCAGCCATTGAGCTATCGCGATTAGACAAAACAGGACTAATCTGTGTCTTCCTGGACTGCACGGCGGCGTACGACCGTGTAGATAGGTTGATACTATGGGAAAAGCTCCGGACCATTGACATGGAAGCAGGGCTGCTGGATGTCGTACAGAAACTGTATACACACAACAGAGCCCACATATCCTTCAACGAGAACACCTCGAGATGGATAGAAACGAACCAGGGACTCCGACAAGGATGCCCGATGTCGTGTGTCCTGTTTATGCTATACATTTGGGACCTTGAGACCAAACTCCAGAACCTCGGAGTCGGATTCCAGGTCAGAACAGCGAGATGGACGTGGGATACGAGAGAAAAAACACACTTCGACATCCCCGGCTACTCTTTGCCGACGACCTCGTCCTGATGGCGAGGAACCACAACGACATGGCGAAACTCCTGGAGGTCACCACAGAATATGGAAACCGGAATAAACTCCTATTCAATCCAGAGAAGAGTGCCGTCGTGATCTACTCGCCCCACGAAGTGGGTAGGAAGAAAACATTGACCATACAAGGCCAAACCATCCCAGTTGCAAAAAACTACAAGTACCTGGGGATAACCCTATCCGACTCCAGGAACTACCTCAATGCACAAGAGGAAGCCTGGGCGAAAGGGGCGAATTCCGCCCTGCATGCAATGCATGCTACGTCTCTCTGGGGTTTCAACCGATTCGAAATCACTAGAGTGCAGTGGAAAGCAACCGCCGTCCCGAAACTCACCTATGCCAACTCGGTCTTGGTGAGGAGCGCCAATTTGAGGGACACCCTGGATAGAGCCCAGCGGAAAGCAGGGAAGTGGGCACTAGGAATTCCAGGATCGAGAGTATCGAACGAGTTCGTCGAAGGCGAACTTGGATGGTCATCCTTCGAAGCAAGGGATGCCCAGATCAAACTATAAGATACTTCGAAAGAGTGAGATCGATGCCTGAAAATAGATTGCCGAAAGCGATCTTGAAAATTATGGAGCTCACTCTGAAGAAAACCAGGGCGTACCAGGAGACCGAACGACTTCGAGCAAAATACAAGTGCTCAGTCATCAGTCTCCAACTCGATGTAGAAGGACGCCCGCCCTCGAATATCTTCAACAAAAAGATCAAAGAGAGGATACGAGAGACCCAGGAGGCGACGTATCCCGGGTCAGTATCCCCGCTCTTGTCGTTCTGAACGAAGACTCCGAGACGAAATCCGTTCCCCAGCCAGTGCTTCACCATGGCAGCTTCGGGACCCAGGCCCGCCCTTGACCGCTACTCGATAACGCCCGTCGAGATCGTAGCCTCGCTTCTTCTTAAGGAGGACCTCGTTCATTTTTCCTCCACTCAGCGAGACGTGAGCTACATTGCCAAGTACTATAGGTTAGACTTAACGTATAACGAGCAAGCGCCGTTTCGTCGTTATTCGAAACTGCTTCTGCGAGGAGCTCGACCATCGTGGAGCCCGACGTTGCCGCGGCGGCTTCGCTTTGAGCCTCCCGCGTATGGTGCGCACGCTACCGCTTATCTTCGGTCGCTTCGCGATTCTCAGACGGGAGAGACCGGACAAGCCACCATTCCGCTTCATGAGGAGCCGCGATCGGTCTCCTGGCCCTTAGTGCGCAGTCTTCCCGAGATCATCGCTGGACTTCAAGATCGAACCCAAGAAGTGCGGGAACTCAACCGTATCGACGACGCCAGGCGTCCTGAAGCCGAACGGACCCCTCGTCGCCTCGGCCCGGCAACTGGAGAAGTCACCTCGTCGACACCCTACCGAAGGCCGGCTTCCTCTTTCGAATGAGAATGATATTTACTAATGGCGCAGCGCCGGAGTGCAGCCAATAAATTAATTGATTAATTCGTCTGAAACTTCTTTTTTGTACTAGGAGCTCGCTTGCTGTTGCCCGAGCAGGAAAAGTTTCCTGATGGGTCGATCGAGCGTCTGGCCGGTGGCTGTCTTTATAGTGCACGATCTCGCATGTTCAGGTTTCGCGTCGTTTTTCAGCGCGATGACTTTTTGTTGATAGTTCCATCTCCTGGAGAAAACGACTTTATCAGCGTCGATCGCTCTTATCGGCCTGGCCGCGTGTTGAGGGAAGCAGCATTTCGCTCTGTAACCGTACAGCAGATCTGCCGGACACAGAGCTTCTGCGTTGTCGGTTTCCGCCGCGACCGCTGTAAGCGGACGTCTGTTTATCATCGCCTCGATCTTGCTCAAGATGACTTCGAGATCGCGGGAGGGTGTGTAGGGGTTTTCCCTGTGGATTACTACTCGAATACGTTCTCTATGCTCGGGTACTGATTTATTCTCGGGCACACGCGTCCTCCTCGGACGCTGGCCGTTCAAGTACTGACTTCTCCCAACACATGCACGTCAACTCGCTTCGCTACGTTCACGGCATGTTCCTACGTTCCCTACAGTTCGTCCACTGCTACCATACTAAATGCCCTCATTTACTACCTCGCTTACTTAGCTATTGAGTACACGCTATTCTCGTTACCTCCTTACGCTATTATTTATTATTTATATATATAGATTATCATATACAATATGATACCCCACTCGATCACTTTAAACTTCGCAACATCACATGATGCTGCACGCAGTCTCTCTGGAAGTGTCCCCACTTCCCACAACGATAACACTTGACAGTGTCGATCTTCGCTGCACAGCAGCGAGCAAAGTGTCCGAACTCGTGACAATAGTAGCATTCATTTGTTCGGGCTGGACAAACCGGGTCACCTCGCCGGTGGGTGAACCCCCAGAAGTCGACACACCGTTGTTGTTCGACTCGTGTACGCTCATCCCTTGCTTCTTGCTGCTCGTTTTCGATGCGCTCGCGACCCTCGACATCTCGTTGATTCGGTTCTTGAACCTCAAGAACCGGTCGCTCCGGATCCCTTTCGGTGTCCTCGTCGTCATCGTTGATGACGGGCAACTCGGGCACCTCCAAAACCTGGGCGACGCCGTCCACGGGCCCCTCCTCGCGACACTCTTGAGATTCCGGTCGTTCGCGCTGCTTCCAATCGTCCTCGTCGGGGATCTCCACGTGCCACCATTTCTTCTGGCGGTGCCGACCTCTCCCACCAAGCCGTGGTCGAGACTCGTTCACGTTCAGATCGCAGGTTCTTTCGAACGGCACCTCCTCCGTGTCGTCGCTGTCGTAGTACTCGTACAGCCTGACTTCGTTCCGGAACTCGACCGAACGGCTTCGATTCCCCTTGCTGACGACCGGGTTTTGCGCGTTTCTGAGATTCCTGCTTCTGCATCTCGTACGAATACATCACGATATCGTGCATTGCAGCCCCGAACGCCGTCGCCGTCTCGGCGAGCTTCAGCCACATGTCCATTGGAGCCGACATCCGTGGGTTTCTCGGGTCCTCGCGTAGGATACCCTTGGGCTGTCGTGGTCGCTCATCCTCCATCTCTGCACCCGAACCGTTTGCGTCGTTAACTCGAAACTCGTGTACGAACAGCTTAAGTCGACAATTCAAAACGACAAGACACTGACTCGTTCCGCGCTCGGCTACGAACGACTCGATACAAGAACCCCGCTCCCCGTCTCCACTCTCGACTTCCGCCAGAACGCCCTCTACCGACAACTCGTCCACGCTACATTACATGATGCCCTCATCATCCTAACTCTATTATACCTTCGTGTACTCAACTATCTATTTCCCTAATCAATGTTACGACCTCTCTTTTTTTTTCTTACTCGAAACCAACATTAATTATCCTTTTAATCTACTTTCCGTATCTGCCTTCGAATTTCGCCGCCCGAACAGGATCCCTCCTCCCGCTCGTCTCGACCCTTTCTTCCTCTTCTTCCGATCCTCTCGTCGGTGACTCGAGAATAGCCGAATTCAAGTCGACGTTGCCGGTCCGCTCAAATTTCGTTGTTTCCTTTAGCTCGTCGCGACCGAATTCCTCCAACATCATCGAAATCTCGTCGATGTCACCGTCGTTCTCGCCTCCAACCGACATCATT